ACTACTCGTGGAGAGACTACTCGTGGAGAGACTACTCGTGGAGAGACTACTCGTGGAGAGACTACTCGTGGAGAGACTACTCCGGGAGAGACTACTCCGGGAGAGACTACTCCGGGAGAGACTACTCGTGGAGAGACTACTCGGAGAGAGACTACTCGGAGAGAGACTACTCGGAGAGAGACTACTCGGAGAGAGACTACTCGGGGAGAGACTGCTCGGGGAGAGACTGCTCGGGGAGAGACTGCTCGGAGAGAGACTACTCGGGGAGAGACTGCTCGGAGAGAGACTACTCGGGGAGAGACTGCTCGGAGAGAGACTACTCGGGGAGAGACTGCTCGGGAGAGAGAGCGCCCCGCGCGCCCGTCCCTCTCGGAGCAAAGATAGGGTGGCAGCATCAGTGTCGCAACTTTGCACTTCTTAATGGCGGCCTTGTAACTTCTCGCGGCCCTCACTAAATATTGATCTACCGCACGAAAACTACAGAGGCGGCGGCGGCGCGCCCTGCTTATTTGAGCGCCCCGAGATCCAACTTGAGTCAAAAGTCAAGCAAAAGAGAAAATCCATCGGAGGGAACGCCCCCGCCGCCGTTGCCGTTTCCACCCTCATTTTTCGTCAAAGTTATTCCCTTTCGAAAGGCGCGCCGCAGAGTCGTGTGTTAACCCCCCTCCCCCCTCCTCCCTCTGCCCCAGCCCTCTTCCAACTGCCCCATTTCTCCGCTTCGCCCTTCTTCTAACACACACACACAATACCCCCCTTCCCCTTCGTTTTCTCCCAAATGGGGCGTTCTCAACATAAGTAAGTGAAATTAAGCGCTTCTTGAGGGCCTTGCGAAGAGCCTCGCATCGCCTCGTTTTCCAGCGCAGTCATCCCGGAGAGGCCTTCGCCTCAGCCTCCGCCTGGCGGGCCGCGCCGCCCTGGGAGCCTCTGTCCGCCCCTCCCCTCCCTCCTAATGGTCGTCGCTACTAACCTTCGTTCTGTCCTTCATGGATCCTCTACCGAGCACAGCCATTTTGGTCATAGTCTCCTCCTGAAGTCGCTTGAGCGAGTTTCCTTTTGGGCCCAGCAGTTTGCCAACAAAGTTGAACTGGAAGCAAAGAAGAGAGAACAACAAAATAGTAGAACGTTTCGGTAAACAAGGAGGGAGGGAAACAGTTTTATCACACGGGGTGGCGCTTTTGCGGTCGTGTGGATGCGGCCTACCTTTGGATGCTCCTTGCTGGGGACTAAAACTTTCACGCTGACTTTGATCGGTTTTTCCCTATAGATGTCCACGTATTTGGTTTCTTTGATTGCCTTGCCACCCTGGGTGTGCGCCTTGGCGACTTCTGCAACAAAGAAACAAGACAGGGTTTTGATTAACGGCCTCTTCCTTATACACGTTGT